AGGTCAAAAATTTTCTAAGTGTCTTAAAACTGACAGCGACCGTTTACGAAAGGGACAACTGCATCAGTGAAGGAAGTCATGAGGTACTACTAAAAGTAACATTAGGCTGATTTAGCAACAGAACTGGAACGTCATTTGACGACGGGAAGGCGCGCGAAAAGGACTAAACTCGATTTCCGGTTCTAAATTTCGCGCTCTGCTATTGGTCAAGCCAGTTGTTTGATTTGCGCGCGCCGTTGACAACTGACGTTCCCGTTCTGATGCTAAATCAGCCTATTACCTAAATGGCACCTAAATTTATTAAGAAGCCAACTACTTCTCATGGTTTCACTTCTTTATTGTGCTCCGGGATAGCGGTGAGAAGAATGGACAAGGGCACAAGTAACTCACGAAGACCGTTAAGGGGTTCCAAAGCTGATGATGAAGTAGCTTGCGACCACAGACGTATTTCCGGTCGTCGCTGCTCTCCCTCCGAATTTTTGGGAAATACGTTTGCGGTCGCACGCTAATGATGAGATCGCTTGTTTAATATCAGTTCGTTAGCTTCGGACGCAACCTTGTTTTGTGTTTGTACACACAATATTAACTCAGGCGATTTAGCATAGAAAATTTATAAGAACTAGAATGTACCTCTCATTGTCGGAGTAACCTTTCGAAACAAGGCTATTTAGATAGTCCTGGAATGAAAAAATAGATTAATAAATAAAAACAAGTTTCGGATAAATTCATGTGTGAATCGAAGACTATAACAGTGTCCGCCATTATGATCACCTTAGCTTCAAGCACTGAAACTTTCATTTATCAAACCCCATTGAGGGGACAGGAGGATCAAAAACTCCAAAGGGGAACCTGCGGATGGCCGCTCAACACAGATTTCAGGGGTAATATAATGGGCCAGTTATTTAAACGGAGTTTGGCCAGTGTTTAACAAAACTACGCTCTAATCCATTTTCAGTTTGCCGAACGCTTTTATGTAAACACCATTTATCTTGAACAGTTTCCTGATGGCATATGGCGTACAGCCGTGCACTAGAAAAGCAGCCAGTTATCTTCTCAAAATAACCTACTGAGGAAGAGATCTGTAAATCCAAAGATTTCCTCAACCGCGGCCTAAGTTAGACTTGAATAAAACCGACTCAATGGCTTTACTAACCTCGTCCGATCCTTGAAGTCCAACACTAGAACGTATGGCACGGTAAGCGTCAAAAAAATCCTCTTCAAATAAAAAAAGGAAACAAATAGAACAACAAACTTTGAGGAATAGTTTTGTATCAAAATATGTTGGTTTCTAAGGTTTTAACAGGGAGATGGTTTTCTAGTTTTCAACCCAACAATTCAACTTGTGCTTGCCATTATCCCAAATCGTCCACTTAGACTTGCTACAAGTCGACCTCTCTTAATTTCTTGAGTGAGCTTTAATGAGGAAAAGGAAGCGACGCGAGCTTCAATGAGGTCGCGAGGTCTACTCATTTCCCCTGAATGGATTTGAATCATATTATTCATATGATCATATGATTCTCATGGGAACAAACGGTGAAAACAAAAAAAAAGCTTGGACTGGTGTCGTTGCGTTTACTCTCACCTTAAGATTTGAGGACAGCAACGGCGGCGAAAATGTCGCGTATTTGTCCTCACGGCGATTATTCCAATCCAGTTACCTTTCCAAATGTATGCGAGCTCCCCTGGAGTTGAATTACTAAGACCCTGTTTACATGGAGTGGGGGACCCCGGTCTAGTGGGGTAAGTTTCTTTTGTTTTGTGCCCTCCAGGGCGTGAAAACAAAAGAAACCTACCCCACTAGACCAGGGTCCCCCACTCCATGTAAACAGGCCCTAAGAACCATATCCAAGTTTACAGAGACAAAGAAACTTTCGTTGTCGTTTGTTTACGTCCTCCATAGAACGTGAAAATAGGCATTTTCACGTCGTAGTTGTGCAGCAACGGCAAAGAAATGCACAAAAAAAGTTTGCTGCACATGTTAAGTTTTTGTTTTGCTTATTAAATCTACTGCTTTTTTGACACCTCCCTGCTGTCGCCGTTGTCGAATCTTACATGTGAGGACTAAAATGAAAATCTCCTGTCTTCGCACTTACCATCCTCGTCTGAAGACACCTGTCTCCATGTTCTTGCTTTGACGGATGCAGCGTCCTTGTGGTCACGTGTATGCTTTGACTTTTGATTGGTTGATGGGCTACGTTCGTAAGGGAACATAGAAAATTCTTCCTCGCTAGATTCATTGCTTCTAATGGTGTCAGCTGTTTTTGGTCTTTTCTCAGACTCTAAGGTATTCCGATGAAGACCGTCATCTTTGATAGCAGAACAAAAAAAGGAAAAGAAAGCATCTAAAAACACAGGTATGGCGATACAGGAAGAAAAAAAATAAGAAAAGACATACAAACAATCTTAATTGCAATAACATCGTGATAGAAAAAAGGGAATTGGAAAAAGCTAAATAGGAATAAATTAGGCAAGATCACAAGATTTAGGGATCTGGTCTGACGAGTTTAAAGACAAAAAAATTTTTGTAGTTTTCAATATACCTTCTCTCAACTCAGCTGATGTCAAAATGAAGGAAAGTAAAAACCTGGGTCAGGAAAAAAAGTTTAGTTTTTTTTCCTTTTTTTCCCATATGCCATAAATTCGAAGGCCCGTGAAAATTCGTTGTATGTTTTTCAAAACCTGTCACCTAGAATAGCATTAAAAGGCGGACGATAAATATGATAGAATCATACACTGATAGTGTAATTAGACGTTTTGCATGCAATGTGTTTTTACAGTGCGACTACTCTAACCGGGGCCACTTAGACGAAGTTGACCAATCGCATTATAGGAAAATAACAATACATACTACTCATTAAGACCGAGGTCTGAAATTTCCCTGTAATGTCCAAATGAAAGAGGTTACTAATAGGGTCTTAAACGGCGGTTTTCAAGGCCTTTTCGTTACATAACGATCATGCTTAACGTCAGGGAACTCGTTTGGTTCCCGTTCCAAAAATTTAACCTTTCAAGAGCTGCGTCTCTTTCTGGTTTCATAAAGTCGAGTAAACAGGTAAACGATTGTTTTTTGACTTAATAAACATATATCGCGCAATCATTGTGCTAAAGCTTTTAATCCTTTCGCTGTTTGTAAGTAAAATTAAAAATAAAAATAAAAAAACAAAGTAAGAAAGTGTTAGGAAATAAAACTACTACCTTCAAAATTAAAAAAACAAACAAACAAACCAACAAACAAAAACTCGCCAACCACATGAAAAAGGCATATTCTACCTGCTCCTTGCTTCAACGACTTTCCTTTCACGGCACTTGGAGAACTGCTCGGTCGGCTTGGCTTTGGAGGAAACATAATTTCTCGCTCCTTTTTCTTGAGTGCACCTATGCACCAACGCATTAAAGTGCTATCACTTTTCCTAACACTTGGAGGCCTTAGGGAGATAACAGACTCTCTGTCATCAGTCTGCGATTGTAAATCCATTTTATCCATAAGCCGTGCAATGTCATCTTCATTGAGCTCAAAGTCATCTACGTTACCGTCTTCACCTTTCAAACTAGCATTTCCAGTTCTTCCTTGTTTCTTTCGCAATCGTCCGTCTGCTAAGTGCCTTCGTTCTATCGCCACTTTAGCGGCGTTTTCGCGTCTGCTCCTGGCAAGCGCAAATATGGTCAACGGAGACACGCCCTTGGCGTTTTCAGAAGTTCTGCTGAAGAGATCACCCGGTCTGTTGCTTTCATAAATTGGTACAACTGTTTCTTTGAACACCATTCCTAAATTATTCGGCGATCTAAGGGTCGGTGAATCTCTTCCTGAAGTATAATAATTCGGTAACTGTCTCTGATTTCGGCGTGGATGTCTTAAAAGGTCTAGCCCAGGAGCTGCAAAACTTACACTTTTTTCTCCCCGATCAGTTCTCTTGCTACGGAAAGAAGTTAAGCCACCATCCGCATGCTGGTCTTCGAAGTCATCGACTCCGTATTCGTCATACGGTTCGAGCACCTCGGTGGAATTTGGAACTTCGTTTTCAGGCCTCTCTAACACCTCCCCGGTATGGGGGTCTTCATATGTCATAAGCGGAGACTCATTAGGTTCAGCCGACAACCGTTTTGGGGATTTCTCTTGACGCTGCACCTGTTGAGACTCTCTGCCTTCTTCGTTGTCGTACCCCTCCAGTGTATCTTTAATGTTTGTTTGATTTTCCTCCATATCGTTTCTGGAGGAATCTTTCCCAAGTGACTGAGTTTTCACTTCCTTTCCATCGGTTAATTTTTGAGATGCCGGAGACATGTGTTTTTCCTCCGTCCCTCGTATTTCTAAAGTGACACAAACAGACATTACATTGCGTAGGAAAAAATTATTTACCTCGACATTATTAAAACGCAATGATCGATAAAACAACATAAGCCTAGTAACGGCATAATGTACGAATTTTTAGACAAGAAAGAACGTAAAAATGGATTGCTCAAGCGATTCGGAGTGCTGAGTAAGGTGACCCTACCTACCTCTGTGTCGGAATGGTAACTATCATGGTAAGGACAGCATGCAATCAAAACTATCCTCAGATATTAAGCCGATGTTTTAAGGTTTCCTCCATATCTTAGATTCAGATTCAGATTTCAGATTCAGATTTTAGATATAACATTTCATAGATTCAAGCCTCATGCTTTACCCTAAGAGAGTAAAATTGTCTTTATCCTTATCGTGATGCAGAAGCTATTCAAACAAGATCGAAATTTTTTAACAACAAATACAAAGGCACGAATCAATTAACCTTTTGGACTTTCTTTATCGGGCGTTTTCTCGTCATCTTGTATCAACTGCTTAGATTGCTGCTTATGAGGTATGGAACTAGTTCCAGGGCCGGACTGAGAATCGACTGTGTCCTGTCGAATGAGAGGCCTTTGCGCGGCTAGGGGTATGTTTACAACATTCGGAGATCTGCGCGAAACACCTTCGTCTTCAACATCTTTTACCGCGTCTTCGTTTTGTTCTTCCTCTTTGACTCCTGCAGTCACCTGAATGACTTGTGACTTATCGTGTTCTTTGTTTTCTGCTTCTTTGGTGTTTTCCAGTTCTTCGGGATTTTCTTTGGCTTTTTTAGTTTTCTTTATCACTGGTCTCGGTGTTCGCCTCGGCTGCGAAAATAGAAAATGCTGTTAATATAATAATAAATATTTAGCTGCTGCTGCTGCGTATTGCTATTTTCTGGGAGAGGGGTTGGGGAAATCCTAACATGCACTCGTATTCAGGTAACTAACTGAATCCCAGAAATCAATCTTGGCTGGCTGAAAAATCTGAGGTGGTGCTCGTTATAGTCCTAAAATCCACGGTTTTCCATTTTGCAGATGGAAATACATTAGTAGACTGTCGACTCAAATGACTAAATGTCAAACAGAGCAAAGCACAATTTCTATTTTGATTTGTTAAAATGCTTTTTTGGAGGGGGAGGACGGGTTAATGTTGCTGCTGTTTTTAAATCTTTTACAAAGTTTTAAATAGTTTTAACCCTAACCTTAACAGCTGTCGGTTCTGGTTTTTCCACTACCATTCTCCGAGCAACAGGGGCGGCATATCCGGGACCTCCATGTGCCGACCGTAAGGACCTGGAGTCGATCGATATATTACCCATCCGTCCTCCTGGTTTTCGAAAGCTGGGAACGATCGAAACCTTTTTCTTCCCATCTTTTTGCAACAAATCGGCGCATTGACCACAAGAGGGGCCCTCGTCTTGCTCCGCTTTTTCAACGTTTTCTTCACCTAAGCAAGGTTTGAACATTTAGTATTCGATCATAGTGGCTAACTAACAGAGCTGACTGTCTAAGGATGTCCCGTTTCCTCGTTTATACGGCTCCTGAACTGACTGTCGCACTTAGTGTCCTTAAACAACAAGGTCCAACTCCAGAAGGGCATTAAATAGACTGCTTGGAGGCGTTTCCCAGTTTCTTCGTTGCAACAAAGAAAATAGCAGACGTCTTCAATCAGGTAGGCATTTGAATGCGAAAAGGAAAAAGTTCAAGGCATGTCAAGCAGTTGATGTTACCAACAAGGTTTCTAAATAAGTGAATTCACAAACACAATCGAAGTTAGACACCCCTATCAGGCGGATATCCCTAGTAACGGGCCCCAAAGATAGATATTTCAAACAATGGCGACCTCTACAATACCCTGGGTACCAGACGGATTCGTCGGCCGCGGGCCTAGTAACGGGCCCCAAAAATCGCGCGGGTCACTTTTTAGATATTTCACAAAACTGGCACCCAGGATACCTCTGCAACGCCACATACGTAAGCTCCCTCAGTCTACAATGCGCTGTCCATTCATTTAGCACATAGGAAATTTGGAAAACAATATAGGTTACAGTACCTTCACTGGGCTCCTCCTCAGATTCCTCTTCCTAAAAAAGAGAAAAATGATAAAATAAAAACAATAATAATAATGATTGCATGTATGAGCAATTTCCTGTAGGCCATAATCTTCCATCGTTCGAGACTGCAGGAAAAATACGATACCATGATAACGTGATTCTTCTATCGCTCGACAATTCAAATGGCATACTAATGTCACTTCTTGTTTAAGTAATGGTCCAGAAAAGAAGGAAAGCACCAACCCCAATGATCACGTCGGAATGCAAAAAGGTGCATGCTAACTACTGCCTCTACTATACATCTGATTGGTTTACCAGCAAATTTTGCTAAATGTTTGCAAAGCAGCTTGTAAATTAGTCCTTAGTTTTCTAACCAACTTCGTTATAGCAAAATCTTGTCTGAACCCAAGTAACACAGAATTCCTATGTGAGGAACACGTAAAATTGTAAACTTTTCTCGGCTATTGTTTGCAACTCGTATGATGGGTCGAACTCTTTTAGCACAAACAAAAAAAACCCTCTTTAAAAATGAAACACACACACACACACACACAGGTTTATGAATTCTTCTTTTTAAAATGGAAAGTATTTTAACAAAAGACATTTCCGTTTCGTAAACTACTTACAGTTATTTTGACTGAGTTTAATATATACAAAACAACCCTGATTTGAACTTCTCAAACTCATTAATAATTCATTAAGAAAATACAAAGGAAATTAATGTTTAATATGTTTGAAATCGGATGAAAAGCGTATTTGCATCCTATAACTCCTTCAAAATTGATTTTGTTTTACCTGGATCATTGCTCAAATTCATCAATACTCCGCTGCGCGTCAATTTTCAAGGTTTTATCTGGTGATGAAACACTGCATCTCATGTTTGATATATTACATGAAAACAACAACCTGAATGATTCTGGTTCCCGCCGTTGAAGTCAGATAACGTCATCGTGCAAAAGTTTCCTATTTGGACGTTTTGAAAAGAGAATGAGCATAACTATAAACTTACTGGGGGAGGAGTGGAGGGTGGTGTTGGTTCTGGAGGTGGAGTCCTTGGCGGTGAAGATACAGGCGAGTCTCCAAATTCGGGCAGTTCCCACAGTTCCGTGCTGGCTCTGCGTTCAGACATCGCTACTGAACTAACCAATGACGTTCGCCTGGGGGTGGTGGACGGGGAGTAATAGACTTCGGTTGGAGCGAGGGAGAGACTGTCCGACATAAAACTGATTGACTGAAAAGAAAAAAAAGTGGAAACGAAACGAAAGGATTACTAATGCAGCATGTAAGGGAGAATTAAGGGATTTATCTGTAGGTGACGCACAGGACCCCAGTATCAAACATATTGACTATAATGGAGATAAACGGTGAATACCAAAGACTATGAACTTATAGAAATCGATGGTTGTAAAGTTAATAAAGGACAGGCCCCAGTTGTTCAAAAGGTGGATAGCGCTATCCACTGGCTAAATATTATTAGTATTTACCAAATCAGACACAAGAAATTTTCGCGCGTTTTGATTGGCTCCCGTAACTCGGAATATCCTCAGGCTATTCACTGTTTTGTTCCCTTTCCCCCCTGTTCTCCTTGTTCCCCCTCTTCCCCTGTTGCCCCTATTCTTCTTATTCTCCTTGTTCGCCCTAACCCCTTGTTCCCCCTGTTCCCCGGTTTCCCATGTTCCCCTGTTCCCCGGTTCCACATTTTCCCTTGGTTCACTTTGTTCCCGTGTTCCCCTTGTTTCCCCTGTTCCCCTGTTCTCCTTGTTCTCCCTGTTCCTCTTTTCCCCTCCGTTTGCCTCTTCCTCTTGTTTCCCTCACTCCCTTGTTCCCCCTGTTCCCCTCTTCACCTTGTTTCCCCTATTCCCCTTTTTCCCCTGTTACCCTTTTCCCTCCATTCCCCGGTTCCCCTTGTTCCTCTTGTTCCCCTGTTCCCGTTGTTCCTCGTTCCCTGTTCTCTGTTCTGTTCTGTCTGTTCTATTCTTATGGAGGGGAATTTTGAGACTGTGTTATCCTGTTTCGAACACAGTAAGATCAGTAAGTCTCGGTACCGTTTTGGGTCTGTTTTGTGTTTGCTGTGTGTGCAGTTATGAACAAAGCTTCAATAATTTTGAAAATAATACAACAAAAGTATCAGTTCAAAAAGAACAATTGACCGGTTTGTGAGCTAGGAACTGTGCTACTATTCAGCAGGTTTTGATTTTGAAATTTGCCTTCGGGCCCGAAACGTTTAAGGACCTTTAGAGAAACGGGCCCCTAGTCATGTAAACCATATATACCAATTCTGAGATTGCAAGCCCATCAAATTTTGTTTGTTTTAATTGTTTGTTTGTTCGGTACCTCTTCTTCATCTTGTTGGTTCTGTTGTTCCAGATCCGGAGGCGGTCTCCCTTCCATGAACCATGATGTCTTTAATTGCAGGTTTGGGAACGGCACCTGAATAACAATCCATTTCGTCAGCAGAGCGTTTTAATGTGAATGTGTATTTTATCTCTATAGCATTATATCTGACTGGATTACCATGATCATGCGACAAAGTAACCCCTTCACTGCCAGAGTACTTGATGGAGTTTTATAAGGCGACTCTAACTTTTGAGTCTGCAGACGAAATCCTACGATGTGACCATTCAAATGAAAGCTCTCTGCCTGTACTTACACATGATGTTATTTGTTTGTCAAAATTTTAGAAAATGAAATTCGGAAATTTGGTCGAAATTGGCCTTTGGCCTCATTTGGCAGTGAAAGGGGTAAGCATGAACGTAGCACATGTAAAACATGTTGTACTCCGTAAAAAAACCTTGTCATATTACAACCCTACTTCCCAGTAACGGCCACCTCTCCACAACGACCACTTTCTTCTGTCCCCAAGGCGACCGTTGTGGAGAGGTTCGACTGTAACTGTAATCAAATCCTTAGGACCTGATTGCTGGTGTAAAGATTAGGTTTAGGAAGGAAACAAAAATAGAAATACATGACTGAATCCGGAAAGTCAATGGTTGAGGTGAGGAATCTCGTACCAAGTAGTTCTCCATGTTAGTGGGGTCCGGTTGAAGAATTTTCTTGCTTTCAAATCGTACTGACGGGTCTTCATAGATATCAGATTCTGCAAAACATAAATGACAAGCATGAAGACGGAGACCATGTTATTTACAATGAAACTAGAACGAAACAAAACAAATTAAGACAACTAAAATAACTTAGTACTTCGAGACTGACAAAAGCCTTTAGACCACCAAACTCACGGACAACGAAAAACAAACAAAAAAGATGATTTCTCACCCAAACTTAAAAAACTGTGACCTCCACAAGAACTAACTCAAATAAAAAATATGCTGCTCTGCACTTTGCTTGTTACATAAGTGGGCCTCGAGGAGACACCAGATGCATGCGCTCCTCCAGTTCTAAAAGACTATTTATTTACCTGTTTCAAATGCTTCGTCATCGAAGGAATCAGCTTTCAAGTCAGACGATGACGTATCTTTTAATGGGTATACTGTAAAAAGCAAATAAAACAGCTTGTTGTACAATTGTAAGGGAATGTTGTAAGGGAAAACACGGCACTTTTCTTCATGACTTTTCTTTTCTTTTGTTGGACATTTCCTCACTTACTTTTTAAAGTGCCAAGCAGTTTATCGGAATTTTTTTTTCCGTTATTTACGTTGAGTTATTTCAAGTTCACATGTTAATCATAGTGTCTGACACCGACATACCAGAAGATTGCCTTGAAAGTTTTGAAAAGACAGGCTTCTGTTATTCTCTTTCCAGCAACATAGAAAGACGGGAAACAGCAACCTTCTTCTTCTTTAGGATAAAATTACAGTAGAAACCAAAATTTGGCACAACAAGGACAAAATTACATGTAGGTCTCGAGTTAACATAACAGAGAGCAGTTTAAACGAGAAAAATAAGCCACGGCATTGATAAATTCAGCTCATCTTTCGTTGGTACTCTTGCCATTTACCTTTTTCATTTGAAATCATAAATATGTGATGCTTGAAGCCGATCAGAATATCTCCTAAAAAAAACAACAACTTATCAACCTATCTTTCTTCACGATTGTAACTAAAAAACAAATAAATAAACAGGAGGGTCCTTGTCTATTAGTTCTCTTGTCCAAAGCAACGCCAAAACAAGTGTCTTCATCAGTTAGACTAGACTGCTTGCAGTCTGCCATTTCTCTCAAAATCCGTAAGTTCTCATTCCAACCGGGGCGTTTGGAAACAACGCCGTTACAAACGGCTTCATTCAAGGCTTCGCCTCTCGTATGTATGGGTTAAGCATGGCCACATAACTTTTAAAAGAAAGAGATCGACTGTTCGCAGTCTTGAGGAAATAATGATTAAACAAAAGAGACAAGAGCTACCTTGAATGTTAAGAAAAGAAGCGACAGTTAACGTTTCGCCCATTAGTATTTCCCGAAGAAGAGTTTTGTCTTTGTCCCAAATTTTGATAACTCCGTCTTGACTGCAATAGAAAAAAAGACGTAGCTTAGTATAACTTCGCTACTACACAAAAATGACCTGCTTTTCTGAAGACAATAGGCTACCTTGTTCCCAGGTTCTATCACTTTCCCGTGTTTCTTGCTCCTTAAGATCGGGTAGGAGAGAGCTCTGGGAACGAGTTTGGACACTGGGGAAGCTATAGTATTCATTGAAGATCAGCATGCAAGCAAGCTGTGATTAAAACCCTTTCTCAGTTTAAATGATCACCTCATTGGGCGGTAAGTTAAGCCGTTGGCCTTCAGTCTCCTTCACCCTTAGACATCAATTGGAAGGGGATATTAAAACCCCGTGACAATATTCATAGGCCCCAGACTATCTGACTTGAGCCGTCATAGGCCTGAGGATGGACGAGATGTGATCCAAGATTGACTATAGCGGCTGAAAAGTGTGCCTTTGCATGGCGACCGATCTGACCTCACTGGGTCCCTCCACAATTCCTGCGCTGGCTGAAAACTGGAAAACTGGCCCCATGAATTTCCTGATCGTGTCTTTTTGAAGAAGGTTTGTGAATAGTGGATATTGATAGTGAAGTTAGCCTATTCAGCTAGTTCACAGGCACCCCACTCAAATAACTGAAAACAAATAATTCAAACAGAATATAACAAGATCAAAAGCCACAACTGGCAGGAGCCAACCAACTGGCTATTTACAAGCATGGCCGAGGTTTGAACTCGGGGCGACCGACAACTAACTTAGCACGTGGCCAGAGACAGACTCGATAGAACCCGGAATCGCCGGATTTCGAGTACGACGCGCTGACCACTCGGCAACGTTGTCTCCTCCTCCCATCCTACAGTTTACCCCAGTCTCTTTAACCAAGCCTATAATCTTACCTCGCACTACAGAATATTCCCAGTTGGGAGTTTGAGTCCACGCTGTTAATAGCGCCCTGGTGATCTTTAGGTGACCGTTTTGAGCCTGTGGGCTTTTCATCTTAAACAGGTAAAGTTCAGTTAGAATACTAGTTGGACCATTTACAGGGTTGAAAAAAAGTGGTATTGAATGATTTGGAAATACTAATCAAATCACATGACTAAAGACAATCACTGGTGCTGTATCTGTAAAAAAAAGACCTTCAGCTTCAACTGTCTACGTCCAGTCAATCTACGACGCTTACATCACAAAAATATGCTGTAATACCTCCATTGCTATGAAGTTCTTGATTGTCCATAGCTAAAGAGTGGAGATGTAAATATCCACGTTTATGTCCACATAAAAGAAGATTGTTCTAAAAAAGAAAAAAGGAATTGTAAATAGAGACGTTCGTAATTTGATAAAACAAGTTCAAACATTGTGAGTAACAATATGTATTGATAATTTAGCTTGTCTTACAGATTATTTTAAGAGGAAAACGTGAAATAACGCTGTAGGTCAGGCGCGTGATCATAAATAATCGAAATAATTACGCACCATTCTGGTAAAGCATGTCAAGTCCGTGTCACAATCTACGCGTTTGAGCAACTGCAAAAATGGTAATGACCAAATAAGGATAACAATCCCAGGATGCCTGCACTTTGTAACCAGGGTGTTCATAACCTGATCATGGTACAGCTCGAGGACCTACGGTGTAAATAATAATATTAAGATAAGGGAAAGTGATTTGAAACTCGTAGACCAGTATGGAGATGGCAAATTTGAGACCTAATTCTATGATGACGATGACGATGATGGTGATGATGATGATGATGGTGGTGGTGGCGGTGGTGGTGATAGTGGTGGTGATGTTGTTGTTGTTGTTGTTGTTGTTGTTGTTGGTGGTGGTGGTGGTGGTGGTGATGATGATGATGATGATGATGATGATGATGATGATGACGATGACGAAAATTATGACGATGATCACCACGATTAAATTGGGAGGGGGATGTCTCTATTTATAATAGAATTTTCTTTTCTCTCTTGTACCCGCCTGGACTAGCCTCCGCTAATTGCGGACACAAGCTTTGTAAGCTTTACTTAACTTGTTGTTTTTGTTGTCTCTTCAAAATCACGTTAAAAACAAAATTAAAAAGAGGTTCCTAAGATATTTATCCCTATTTCTTCTACCGTGGTCATAAACAGTGCCGTTGTCACAGTTTTAATTTATTACTTACAGCGTCCTTATTCGCTTGTAGTTGATGATATTTTAGACCTTTCCAAAACATGTGGAGAAACAGAACTCTTCCATCCTGAGTATGAAACGGTTGAAAAACATTATATTGTACAGTAAGGTATACATGTATATCTTTAGTCTTATTGTTAATTTAGAACGGCAAGTTTCCTGTAAAAGAAATGTTGAGGATCTCACATATTATCTTAGTCGTAAAAGAGGGAGAGAAATAAGCTTGTTTTTACCACCATGAATCCTATTTTTGAATTAAAAAGCTGACCCTTTGCCGAAGATGAAGCGAATTCTTTTTTCGGACTGGCTACCCGAGCAAACACAATGTATTGGCTATCTTGCTGTTGATTGGACCAACTCTTTATTGCCTCGTAGCCACAAACAGTGCTATCTATACTTGCGGAGTTGTTCTTTACATCATTCAATTGTTCCACGACGTTGTCTTCGACCTCGTCGTTGTGGCTGCGTTGTGACCATAATAAAAGGAAGCTCTAGCATCGACGACGGCGACGGCACCAAAAGCGTCCTTTTTAAAAGGAATTCGCGTTGTTTCAAACTATGTCGTGTATATTCAAATTCGCTGAAAATGTCAAATGTAGGCAAATTTCCCTGGAGTTGATTACTTGCGGACCGCACTCAAGTTTAGAAAGAGAAAAAATATTCGTCATCGCTTGTTTACGTCCTCCATAAAATTTGCAATTAGGCATTTTCACGTCGTAATCGTACAGGGACGGCAAAGAAATGTACAAAAAAGCGTGATGCACGTGCAGAGTTGTTATTTGCTCAACAAACGTATTGCTTTTTTGAGGTCCTAGTTGCCGTTGCCGTCGCCGTTGCTAAAACTTCATAAAATAGAGCACAAACTGCCACTAAAATGGAGAATGTTACGTATATGTTGGATCACAAACCTGCGTTCCCGCCATCAAGAAGTGAGTAGCATCAGGGCATGCTTGTCCTTCCACAGACTGCATTGTAATTGGAGAATACAGTATTCCGACGCACGTGATTAATACTTTCTCTTTACGGGTCGACAAAGAAGATTCCCTGCCAGTACCGTCGCGAGAAAATAAGGGACTAGGTCCGCGTGAAGGTAAATCGCCGGTGTTGGGGCTTGGAGATCTAGGGAAAACCAGTGATACACGAGAATGATGTATGATACATGAGATCATTGATGGTATAGTTGGGCAACATTTAAGTAGCCTGCGTAGCAACCGTTTCCTCGCGAGTTTGACGCGAAAGTTGGACAAGAGCGAAAACGAGCAATAACTCCGCTCGATCGGAAACGCTTGTTACGCAGGCTAACATTCAGGAAAAAGTTTCGCAAACAGGATACAATACTTTTCAATGCCATTGATACAATACTTTTCAATGCCATTGATCTTCGAAGGTATAAGAATATGCTTATTGTTGGTTGACAAGATACAATTTGTCGGCCCATTTTTGCGATGTATGTTCGAGAAAACACATGAGAACAAAAAAAGAAAACCGGCCCTATTTTCAAAGAAAGTTGCTTCACTACAAATCTTTGAAATCGGGTAGATTTTAAATGTTGCAGGTACAGTAAAAACTGACCGTTATGTCGGGTCGGCAGATCACCACGATAAATATTTTCGTGTAAACTGATGTTAAATCTTCACGGAAGACAACTATTAATTTTCTGGAGAGTGGAGGAAAACGCGTCTAAAAATCCGCGGAAAAGAAGACTATTTTTAGTGCCAACAGGGAAAATGGTCACTCAAAGCTAATGAAAAATCTTCCCTTTACTAGTCTAGTCTGAAATAAAAGAAGACAAACAAACACAGCTACTACTGACATTTGTACTTCCTGGATGCGGTGGAAGGGAGGGGAGAGAAATTGATGTTAAATGGTATACGGACGATACCTGTGTCCCTCGCTTAGCCATGGACTGCTTGCTCGGGATTTTGACGTTGCATCCTGGGAGTGATGGCTATGGATATCTTCAATGAAATCTAGTTTCCAGGATTCTACGCGAGTAGCTGGATTAGTCCTGCCAAAAAATTAAATAAACAAAATAGATCATCATCATCATCATCATCATCATCACCATGAGCCCTTAGGTCAGCAAAGTTACAGTGCTAACATCTCAGAGTCAATTTGCCTTTACATGCTCAATTTTTGCAAGAAAGCATATTTGGTCCCTTTCTTTCTATGCACCTAAACAAATATTTGCGACGTCGAACTTTGAGACTCCGTCACTCGAACATAAGGGAGGTTAGGGAGCTTAAGAGACAACGACCGTCAAGGCAGCGAAAACGCTGTACTTGAAAAGAAAATTCGCGCTCTTTCAAAGTTTATCACCATTATTCCATTACGTTCAGCTTATCGAACGTTGTCGAATTATGCTGAGATTGAATAGGTCATTTCCAAGGTATAAAAAAGCTTAAACTTTTAAAACGAGTCTAAGTGCAAATCCTCTCTTGGGAAAGTGAGCTTTATTTGCATGAGAATAAAAAATCATTTTCATGATGGCTTCGTACTTAGCCTCGGTTTGGAACAGAGGCTTGGGGAAACTCAGAGGAGGTCTACTGTAGAGGGCTGTATTTCCTGGTTGACACGCGTCGTTCAAAACGTCTTTGCTTAAGCTCCCAACCATTTGCCCTTTAACCTCTTCTTACTGGGACATTCCCGTTAGTGTACAGTACCTGGTATAATAGACCCAGATCTCCTGCTCATCAATCAGCAAGTACATCATGTTAAACTCCCTGCTATATGCCACATCTTTCACCATATTTAGAGGCGAGATGGGTGGCGGGGGAAGGACTGTGGAGAGATTCTGGCGCTTCCGGGAGATCAAGCGAACACTAAAAGAAAAAGAAAAACATATAAAACAGTTGTTGGCTACGACGTCTGCTAAAAAGTGATCCAAATGTTTCATCAATCTCAAAGAAGAAAAGGACGTTGATTGGCTCTCGTTTTGATGACTTTCAAGCATTGCCAAACTCTCCAGGGGGTTGGAGCCAGAAATATTGAGAAATGTACTGTTCCCCAACTATGGGCTTACCATCCATTTTAGCCAGCGTAGCTGGTGATTTTTTCGGGCGAGCGCGCAATTACGTCGCGCTTCCCTCCGTTACCCCTCCCCAACAAAACCGCCAGTTACAGACTAACGCTATGCTCACACTTTTCCGGATAGCCTTTCGTGCCAACACGGTATGGTGTGAAAACGGCATAGTACCAACACGGTATGGTGTGAACACGATATAGCGTAAACACGGTATAGTATGAACGCGGTATGGTGTGAACACGGTATAGAGTGAACACGGTATAGTGTAAACACGGTATAGTATGAACACGCTATAGTGTGAACACGGTATGCTGTGAACACGGTATAGTGTGAACGCGGCAAAGTGTGAACACGGTATTGTGTGAACATGGTATAGTGTGAACATGGTATAGTGTGAAAACGGTATGGTGTGAACACGGTATAGTATGAACGTGGTATGGTGTGAACACGGTATAGAGTGAACACGGTATAGTGTAAACACGGTATAGTATGAACACGCTATAGTGTGAACACGGTATGCTGTGAACACGGTATAGTGTGAATAGCGACGGCACAGAACTGGAACAAGTCGTTCACACATCAAAAATCGGGCCAGAGCGGTTGGCCGAGAGGGTTCGGTAAGGTAAATCCCAGTCCTCAGTCCTGAATATTTAATTCCATCTACGTGGATTGCAGTCCTCGCACAGAACATATAGCTGATAGGTGATGCTCCATTTTCGACATCGGCGTGGAACAGCTTCGCTCCGTTACCGCAGAAATCACCGTTCTTGTCAGTGAACAGAAGCCCCATCCGGTGTGGTTTTCGCGCACGCGCAATTGCTGTCCAGTATCGTGTGAACATACCGTTAAATTCCAAAAATAAACCCCTCCATGTATAAGCCCCTCCAAATATAAGCCCCCCAAAACGGTAACGCAAAAAACCCTCCGTTAAATCGCCCCTCCAAATATACCCCCCCCCCGGGGACTTGTACTTGGATCAAATACAAAGCAAAACAAAGCCAAAACGGTTAATTTCCTTCCAACTATAAAGCTAGCCCAATCGATTTTGAAACGCAAATTTCCCTCCGTAGATAAGCCCCTCCGAATATAAGCCCCTCCAAACAATAAGCCCCTCAAAAAGGGCCTTTGAAAAATATAAGCCCCAAGGCTTATTTTCGGAATTTTACGGTATCCTAAATGACTTTACCTGCTATCATTTCCCACCGCCATAACACGCGTGGATTTTCCTCTGCATGTTTCTAAGGACAGTGACGTCACCGAACAGCGTGACAAGGCCCAGAAATCGCAGACATGATTGAGAGAGAAAACCTCAATTACACGGTTGGAACAGCAGTAAATAAGCTTTGACGAGACGACGTGCATCCAGTAAATACCCTCTGGAAACACGGGCAGGCTGAAACATAAGGTTTATGGATTGTCAATATCCTCTGCAAACAACATTAGGGACTTCAGGTTAGGCAACGATGACGAAGACGGAAGTGAAAACGTCGCTAAATAAATGAATTTGCGTCCGTTCAAACTTTATCGTATCTATTTGAAACCGCTCAATTCGTCAAATGTAGGCGACTTTTCCTGGAGTTGAATTCTTAAGGGCTTTATCCATGTTCAAATAGAAGAAAGGAAAATTTTTCGTCGTATGTCCACGTCCTCCATACAACGTCGCTTTGGGAGGTCTCACGTCGTAGGCCAAAACCTTCAAATTAAGACTTTCACATTACGGAAACTTTAATTAGAAGTCAAGCAGAGGACGGTACAGAAACGTGCTAAAAAGTGTGTTGCACGTGCAGAGTTGTTTTTGTAGTGGACAAAGTAAACTAATCACAAAAATAGTCAAATTTGTGTTTACAAAATCCTAAAAAAATAAATAGTTCCAAGCAAAAGCGAAAAAGGCTTTAATTTAATGGTAAAACCATCGGAATTTGTCCATAGGCTCGGAAGTTAGAACTACAGACTAGATAAATAGTGCCATGTGAAAGTACCACTGGAGAGGTTTCATTTGAACGGTAACACCATTTCATTCACACACTTCGTTCAAAGCTAGAGTGACAAATAATCTGCTCGCTATAACCTTTTATAGGATTAAAAAGGGATAAACATGCCGTTTTGTTTTAGTTTGGTTTTTACTCCTCGTCTTAATTTGCTTTTTGAGGGTATGACTCTGAAGTTTAGTGATTAGGGTTAGGAAACTAAGTGAATCAGGTTCCACTTAGGGTCATTATACTGGGCAAAATGACCTGAAATTAATTCACTCAGTTTCCTAACCCGATTCACTAAACTTCAGAGTCATTCGGCGTTCGGCGTGGTTTTTCAAATTTCGGGTTTTAGGCAAACCCTGCTTTTGAAATTGTCATTACTGTCGCCGTCAACTTTTAGTAAGTTATGTATTTAAACCAACGGGGCGATTGGTAACCGATAATCTGAGATGTTTTAACTCCTTTAAAGTAAGTATCCTGAACAATAACCGCTATGGTTTCTCGACCATCAAGAAAAGACTTTTAAAAAATTGAAGAGCAACGCGCCTGGGCTCTCGTATGTTTGCTGTTGTTGTTGTTTTTGTTTTGTTTACCTGTAAATTTCCTCCATGAAGTCCAATGAATTAACTTTCACTATTCCATCCATAGCAGCTGTTATCACCAAGGCTGAATTTTCTGGGTGGAGCATTATTTTTGTTATTGCCTGGTTTGAAGAACAGAAAATATAAATGAGCAAGAAAAAAGTCTGAGTGGGTCCTTCACCAGCAGGATTCCCGCCGGCAATGATTTTCCGGGTTGTACAGTTCGGGTGCACTTTCCCGCTCTGAACTACGAAGGGACTTGCATGTAAAGGAGCTGTGTCACGAATTTTAAAAAATTGTAACTGCAGGAACTGCTACCATTTTGAGTGAAATAGAGAAATAATCTCTCAAAACTTTAAAATAAGGTATAAATATCACAGCAAATAAAGAAGTAGGCACACATGGAAAAACTTGAAGAAGAACAAAACGGCTGGATTGAAGTTATGAGTTTTGAAAGTTTGTTAGCCAAACAGTTTCTCAAAGTTCGTTTTCGGTGTTTGTAACGTCTGATGTTATGCTTGAGAAGTTTATTTGTTGGACAAGAAGCTGTGATTTTGTCGTGTTCAGTAATTTCTTTGTAAACGTTAAGTTCATAGCGTATATAGCCTAGTTCGTCACGCGCTCCTGGAGCAGAAACGCGTGACGAACTCCCAAGAACGTCTACGTGGGAGGCTGTGCTGTATAACGAAGCGTCAAAATTGGCATTATGTTAACAAATGAACAAGACAGACGTGACACAGCTCTTTTAAGGTTTATAATCAGCCTTGACACACGTTAAGTATTATTCTAACAAAAATAAAAATAAAAAAACCTTACCTTCGAATGGCCAGTAAATGTATGCACCTTCCCGCCACTTTTTGATCTGCTCCAAACATTCACTGAAAATTACCATAATATATTAAATCAGCCACTGGGTTCAGCCACTGTATAAACTGGAATAGTGTCCCTCGCAGCCGTTTTGTCTCGTCACGCAGCGCAAGGGAGATGCGTTATGTGATGAGATAAAACGACTGCGAGGGAGACTACAGCTGGAAGGATAAAGTGAAAAAACGAGTATTACTGAAAGCTACAAGCACAAGTCATCTAAAAAGGAAGCCCAACATGACGAGAAACTCAGGAAAACAAATTGAACTCTTTTTCTTGTGCTCCAATTACAGCATGATGATACGACACTGTGAAATACAGTTTAGGCCAGAGATAAGCGAGACAGGAAAACGCGTAAAGAGCTTCCCAAAACACGCGTTCATGTGGCAGATCTGGGGGCTTAGCTTTAATAAGACTGGGAATGGGTTCCTTGGGGGGATAAAAAGGGCTCAAAAAATTAATCTTGAAAAGGGCACCCTCTCGCTTGTCTCAATTTATGATTTTGTTAGAGGGGCTCTTGAGCCAAGGTTTTTGGACGTAATTTGTTTTGTCAGGCCAGAAAATCTGCTTGTCCCGGACTACTGGACGGAATGTTTAAAAAGATCAACGATTGAAGCGAGCCGAGCGAGGGACTCCGTGGCAAGGGGAGAGGGGCTCCTCTTTTCCTCCCTAATCCCCTGCTCGGTTCGTCCTTTTATTTGCGCGCCTGCCATGCTTCGTTATTCGTCCTTTTTCTTTGATAAGCAGCCTGGTCCCAGGCTATCCTTTAAAGTTCCCACTGTGCGCTTCGGCTGTATTACATTAAGAAGTTCAACCGTTGAAACACGAAAACTTTTGTTTTCTTACCGTCACAATCAGTCCCCACAGTTACAAGAAAATTACAGGCTTTAGAGTAAACACAGCCAGTTACAGGTCCTCTGTGGGCACTAGAAAGTTAAGCATAAGGTAAAATTAATGTTACGTCACATGATTCCTTGATTCTTACATTGTGTACACCTCAAACACACAAATTCTCCAGACTGATCTTCATACATTTCCCTGAAGAATTGGTAATAGGAGTTTTTGTTTGTATGTGAAAGCGTTTCTCATCAATTGATTATTGTATTAATTCTCACAACATTTTCCCTTGATCATGTATTGATTTTGTTGGGAGAAAATTGACTTTGGTCACTCTTGGGACCGACAGGGTTAAAAAGCTGTCAAAAATCTTACTCCACTATCTGGAAGAGATGATTTCCCACCATGTCATAAGCCACAACATTCCGTTCAGATAAACAGTACAGACGCTGCAAATAAATAAATGTAAAGGAAAATCATATGACTTTAGGAACGAAAGCAGGAAGAAAATAATGGTTTGAACGCAGGGGTTATTTCATACATATGTTGCTGTACATGTAAATGTAAGTAGGAGAAATATGATCGGATCAATTTAGGTTTCGCGGAAACTGCCTACCTACCCCTCCCCTAAGCCAACTTCATCACTTATTTCTCACTTGGGGCAAAATGTTGGCTAAGGGGAGGGGTACGTGGACAGTTTCCTTGAAACCTAAATTGATCTATACGATCAGCGGTATGAGTGTAGTCCTGTAATTAAGGACTGTTGTTGTTTACAGTGAATGACTCTGTCATCCAAGAGATCATAACATACAGTATACATGTATAACAATTCCTTTCAGCACAACACTCGCCCAGATGGTCATTATTCCACCTGGTTTAGAATATTAATATTGCAGAGATGCCAGTTACCTCTGGAGGACTAAAATTTGGAGATTCTATCTTTGGACTACCCCCACCACATGTCATCAATACCCCACGCCACCCTACAAATTGACCCAGCCCCAAAATTATGACAGTCATGAAAATGGTTTAGGACATGATATGAAATCTTACATGAATTACATACCATCAAAAATTGCATTAATCATGGTAGTGACGACATAGTCTTTGTAACTGGCTAATGTGCAAAAACGCCCCAGAGACCGTTCCGATTTGGAAAAAAATTGGCTAAATTTCTTACTAAAGCACAGAAATACTCAAAAGTCGATTTTATTCAGGAGGATCAGTGCCGTATCCGGTATAGTTGGCATTATGAGGATATTATTGCTGTTACCTGCATTGCTTCATCTAGCTCTACCTGCTTCACCCAGCTTCCCCCCATGTCTGGATATGATGCCCTGTGAGTGCAAGGAGAAACTTTGTTACTTAAGTCATAACCAATGATTCACATGTGTACATTGTAGTACCAAATTATACTAAGCTTTTAATACAGCTTGGCTCAAAATTATCCTCGGACAGTGGGTTGTCATGATGACCAACCAAAGAAATTTTTGCCTGGTCAAGTCTCATTTCTGGCCCATCAAAATAATTGAAAAAAGGAAACTTATCCTTTGACTTGTGTAATTTTCTATTTGTGGTTGTGATTGCATTTAGACAAAGAGACAAAATTTATAGGTGAGGATATGGTTTTTTTCAAGAACAAGATTGCCATAGTAGGGGCTAATTGGGCTGCCGTGCGGCTGCACATTTTTAAGCCGGGGCTGTATAGTGACTTCTATCAATATGAATAAAAATAGGCCAGTAAGACTTATTTTCAACTGGTACATTTCCTATTCCAAAATGCACCCCCTCTGCCCCCAAAATATAGCATGAAAGTATAACATGACTCAAAATGTTCTACTCTTATAAATTGTGAGAGGGTCAACCTTTGTAGTGTTTTAAACACTGCTATTAATTCTGTTCCTCAAAACTCCCAAAGCAAATTAAGTTTCACTTTTATTTCTGTCGGATATTGCATTTAAAGGCCTTCTTACAATCCATGGAAAGTGAATATGTTTCTATTTGACGGGGCGATTTGGATTAAGATCTAAAACATTTCATCTCATTACCTTAACACCAAACCATAGTTGGCCATTGGTCTGGAATCTCTCTCCCAAGCTTTTTGCCTGTCTTTTTCAATCTCCCCAAATGTCCAGAACTATAAATTTATAGAACATTAAAAAATGCATTCCACTCAGTCTCATGTAGGGATTGCAAGAAAAGTAAACAAGAAAAAGCAATAACAACAGAGCCACAATGTAGCAGGCAAGGTGCACGTAATTACCTGAAAGCCTTTTGGCCCCTCTAGATCAGAGAACTGCACGAACATGTATACTTATAAAGACACTTTTTTTTCTTCTAGACTGTTTTGCTACTGATATGTACATGTATATGCCTTGTCAGTTACCTTCATGCCCCCAGTTCCTCCAGTAATGAGCTCATCTCTACTGTGATTAAACACCATGCATAATACAGAATGCATCTCTGCTGACACTGAAAAGACTTCATGAAAATTCAGGTTGAAAACCTGAAAAAATAAAAAAGCTGAGTTATAAAGGTTTAATATACAGTTAGTCAGTTCCTGTTATTACCTACACAGTTACCCTTAGCTTAACGGGCCACAACTTATTTTTCTTAAGGTATTTGCACAGGCAAATTTTCAACATTTTATTTTGCCCTCAAAATCTTTCTACAGTAAGTTCAGATGATGTAATATGCATATCTGGTGTTCTTTTTTTAATATACCTTTGCATTTAAGAGAAAATCTACTCAAAAGTTGACCGATTTACCGGAAGTTAAAGAAAAATTTTCATTTCCGTTACTAAGAAAAAGGACGGCAGGAGCGCAATTTGACTCCTCTTTCCAGCATCAAGTTCTATTGATGCGCTGAACAAAATCTATTCACTGCTTGGATTCATTGACAAACTACAGCCGCTGTATGTCCAACTTGATTTTTCTTCCTTCTGTTAAAGCTGTGATGACTAATATTACTTGCTTCTTGTCAAAATTTGTTATGTTCTTGAAATACACTCCGTTTTCCAGGGCTTAATATTGTTTTAAATTTACATTACATCGGTGTGTCTTCTCACCTGATATATTCTGACAATTTTGCCGGGAGAGTAAAACGTTTTCTTGGCCCCTAATCCTCTGGTCTGTTTTTCTGCCAATTTCTTTCACTTTACAGAAGCAATTCTTTTCAATTTTGAATAAAACTCTTCTTCAATCTTCAGACTTCGGCGCGCTTCACTGCATTAAAGCTGACACTGAGTAACGCATCTTCCGGAAATGCGTCACACCTAGCAACTGGTCACGTATCAAAATCCAAGGGGGCTATAGAGAGGTCATTTGGCATTTTCTTAGGCTTCCACAAGCATTTCACACAGCGGTGATTCAAAATGGCGGGCAATAAGGTCTGTGATGGTAGTATCGAGGAAAAACAGTTGATTTTGAGAAGAAAATAAGCTTTTTCACACTGGAAAAGCGTTAATTACCGCGTGACCGATTTACCTTGACTTATGGGAACCAGTTTTTTGGAGGAATGGATCATTATTTCTTCATGAAATTTGGCAAATACACAAAGAGTATGTTAATGAACAGATCTGTGTTTGACTAAAGGTTAGAATTGCCGTACAGCTGAGTTATTGATGTCAAAATATGGGTCAAATTGTGCCCTAGAGGCTGGATTAATTGGAGCTGTGTCATGGTCAAACACAGAATTATTCTATCTTACGTCCTTATTTGTGTTACATTTCGTTTTTAACAATAACTCTAAGGATTCTTCTGAAATTTTGATTTTTCTCTTTCCGTGCCACCCTAGGGGGTAATTAAATTAACACCTTTTGGGTCACATAACCTAGTTTATTTTGATATATTCTAGTTCCTCAAGAACTGAGGAATACTGTCAATGTAGTTACATATAGATATTATCCATAAAACAACCACTAAAAATGATGCAAACATGTGCAAAATTTGCCTGTGCAGATACCTTAAGTCTTTCACTTCTGACAGTAACCAATGGAAAGAAAACCTTCAAAATTCCAAATGTATTTTTGTAGTAAAATTGTAAGAATTAGATAGAACCATGCAAAAGTTTTGCCAATGAGGTTTTATTTGAATGATAACATCATAGGATTTCAAACACAGAATCAAAAGTTAGACTGACTTAAGGTACTAAATAAATAGTATTTATCATTCGATGCAAATTGTTCTTCGTTTTCATTGGCCGAAAGCCCACCACGTGACCTGCAAATAACTGTCTACAAAGAGTGGTCTGCTCAAGGAAAATAATATTCTGCTCTATGCAAAACAAAATGACGCGTTCATCCTTCTTGTGATCGCTCTTGCGTGAAAATGGCAGATCGCTTTCCTTTCCAAATATATTCATCAAAAAACAAACTTGGTGATCAAATGAGATATGTATTGAATTAATTTTGTCTTGAACATAATAACTCACCTTCAGTGCATACTCTTTTGACAAGGCAAAATACACATTAAATTTTCTTGAGAATATGATCAGTCGCAGGACATTAAACTGGTAAGATGGATAGTTGAGATGCCTCGTAACTAGAAATTTAAGCAAATTTAATTTAAAAATGAATAATAATCAGCTTATATATTTATTAGTACTATATGTAAATAATGACACACCATGAGCAGAACACTGTTTCTAGTATTAAGCCCAGCTACACTTGCTATCATACTGACCAGCATATCAATTTCCCTTAGGTTAATTTTTATAGCTGTTACAGGTCAAAATAATTAAATTCAGGTTAAATTTTTTTAAACTAGGTTGATTCTCAATTTCTGTAATGTCTCCTAGCTGGCCCTAACTATTCATGATGAATTAGGGTGTAGAAGACAAAGGAAATAGAGGATCAACCTAGTAGGTTAAGAAATAATTTCGACCGGAATTCAATTTCTGTTATTTTCTTTCACACACTTTCTAATCATGGGATTGTTCGAGAATGATCCCTTGAGGGTGAAAAGTTCATAAAAATTAATTTTTTCCAGATGTTACATGTGTACCAATCTATATTTATGCTGATCCAGCAGGGACATTTTCAAAAACGTGACAACCGCATTTTTTCCAAACCTACTGGCAGGCAACAGGCAGTCCAAGATACATTGCATGACCGAGGAAGTGACAGCATACAGTCCCCCCTCCCCCCCTGAAAGGCCTCTGAAATATTATCTGAGCTACTGTCACGTGCTATATTTACAGGAACAGCACAGAGCAATAACTGCAGACTTTTTCCAGTATTATCTTTGGAACGTTTTCTAATCTTTCCCTTTTAGCAATGTACAAATCCATCAAGCAAAGGCATGATGGTACAGTTTGTGTATAACAGTTACTTTTACAAGTACCTTTTAATATGACAAAAAACTCAAGAGTTGTTGCTATTAATTATAAAGGTGTACCTGTATTGTAGACACTTTCATATGACCAACTTGTAATACCTCGTGAATCAAGAAAGACAAATTGTCTAAACCGGGAATTGTGCGTCACTAGAAAAATTATAAACAGCATGAACAAATAAAATGGTCAACTTGTACATAAATATGCATGCATAGTAGACCACTGACAACATAATATTAATTTATATAAGATCAAATGAATTCATAATCAGGATGTACAAAATAATACTCCAAGTTTTTGCTACTCTTTATAAAATTCTGAAAGGTCATTGACCCTACTCACTATTGGGATGGGAGGGGAGGGGTTGGCAGGGGAGGGAAAGACACAGGGGGAAAGGAAGGAGATGATCACCCTCGATACAAGGGCAGATGAAGCAAACTTGTCATTAAAATTAGAGAACAGTAGAGAGTTTGTAGTACCTCCAACAATCTCGCAGTTCTTTGAAGCGTGTTTATATGACCCTCTACTCTGAAAACCAAAGGGAATTTGCGAATAGCTGCTTCTTTCTTCCATGGCCAATAGGCTCTGTGTTTCATCCCCATATTCGGTATCTTCACCAACAGATTCTATTCTCTTTCGATCGAATTCAGAGAACTCACTCTGTGAGTCCTTAGAATCTAGTATATGAGACTTGTCTCCCATGGTTCTCGAATCGCTATCCAAGCCAGACTTCAACACAGATTATGAGAATTTGGTGATCTTGCGTGACATAACATCGCCGAACGATGAGATTTGAATTTGCGCGCGCGAAGTGAGAGTTTTGTTAAAAAAGGTCACTCCGAAGTCCAAAATCTTCCACACTTGGAATCGTATCTTTTAGATTTTGGCCTCAAGCACTTAAAAGGCTATGACTGAGGTTTACAACATGCTACACTGAGTTAAATTCCAATAAGCTTACGTTCAGAACGATTTCATCATGTTCTATGCATGTGTCACGCAAATGATGTGCTTATTCTCTAGGACTGTTTTTGCCTCATACTTTTTCGCAAATCTGTATAAAGCGAACTTAAACGAAGCTTCCGGGGATTTTAATGTATCATTGTAGTTCTTGCGTTCACGAGGTCCATTTTCTGTGAACAAACAAGTGAGGAATGAGTTTTTAAGTGATGGAATTTCACCTAAGACAAAACGTGAGTCGTAATTACTTACCTGAAAACTTTTACCAACGAGGCCAAGGAAAGTCCACAAAGTAATGAAAGTTTATCAGCAAAGATGGAGTTCCATTGAACTCGAATTAGATTAATTAAAGCGTATAAATCATTCGATTTGTCTACAAACAAAATTATCGAAGACTGTCGATCTTTTTTGCATAAGAATCAAGGACCGGTTGCTACGAGACGAGACGGATTGGGAACTGATCATGTGACGGTCAATCGCCTTTTTGACCGGACAACGTGGACTGAGGGGGCGCTTTCCATTTAGTAAAAATTTCCGGAATTTCCGGTTCGGCGGTAAATGGAACACGTTTCGTCGGCTCGTCCCACTGGAAAATTCCCAGAAAAAGTGGAAAATCTAAAAAGGTGGTCCCGTTTTCCCGGTTGGAATTTCCGAACGGAATGTCGTGTCCCATTTACGTTTCTCGTAGTTTGTACCAGTTCCAGGTCCACGGTCGGGCACCGCGCCACGTACCGGGGTTTACGACCAAATGGAACAACTTTTTACCAATCGGAAATTCCACTTTTGCTACCACCGAAATTTCCGGTCTTTTTTCGTAAATGGAAAGCGCCCAGGATTATCGAACCAAAAAATGCTGTTCAAAAGCAAGTGCCTTATAAGAAACGCCAATTTATACGTCCCTGTTGATGTGCTTTAGGCTTCTGAACAGCACAAAAAATTTGAAAAAGTCCAAAAATTATCTCAAACGACAAAAAGCAATAATTCGGTAAGTTTATGAAATGACGAAACTTTGATCCATGATTTTCAACTTTCACGGGTATATGTGTGTACTACGGTGGCCCACAACTGTCAGAGCAAAACCAAAAACCGCACGGCAAAAACAAATGCCCATGGCAAAACCAAAGCCATTTTGCTTTTGCTGTGAAGTATTTGGTTTTGCCGTGTGGTTTTTGGTCAGTGTTGCCGTGAAATATTTTGTTTTTGCCGTGAGGTTTTTGGTTTTGCCGTGACAGTTGGGGGCCCCATATTCATCCTGGATTTATGGACTCCGTGAACAGTTTAAACATATATTTTTGTTTCCAGTTTATATGAGAGGGGAGGGGAGGAGAGGGAAGGAAGATAGACTTCTCACTCGAATCTGCTCTCTTTCTTCTGCCCCTTCCTCTATAGTTTTCTCGTTTAACCTCTTGCTTTACGAAACGCGAATGGAAAACACACCATAAAAACGCCTGCTTCGCAGGGTAGCAGTTTGCATGATACATTTACAGATTTACACAAGTTCCCATGCCTTGTAACAGGCCTCCCATTGCGTTCATTATCTTCTAGAGGACAGTACAAACAAAAGCGTACTTAGTTCTATAAATGTCCGTCGTCATCATTGGCTGAAAGCACGATAATAGCGGGATGTAACTTGGCTATTCTAGGATTGACTTCGATTAATTCGACCATCGTTTTTATCGGGTGTGTTTGGTTCTCAATTTGATTATTTCAGACATAACTTTGCCTAAGATCGGACCGATAACTGTAAAGGTTAACGAAGATCTGAAGAAATGGGGAAAACAGTTATCATATTGGTGTCAGTTGCTTGCGTGTTGCTTTCAGGTAAATTAATTTTTAATTTACATAAACGACGAAATCCTTCTTCAGGATAAATTGGAGGTTGTGATTATTTTCTTCGAAATTCATTTCCAGAAATGCGTCGCCAAACTTCAGAATGTTAGTCAAGTCGACTGATTTTTATTTAAACTGTACTATTTATCCGTGAAAACAAATCTACTGTCTTAGTTTAGTTTCTCACTGTACGAAAATGATTTTGGATGGTGATTACAACTTAGTTACAATTTGGGTGTGTACTGGAGCGCTTGCACTTAAAGGGCAAGAAAACTTCACTTTTTTAACACGATAAAGTTTTTCTGCAAAAGGCTAACACGTTGAACTCAGTAAGGCCGTTTTCGTTTTGTTTATTTATATTACAGGCAAAGTATTACTCGATTTTTTTCAATTCGTTCTCGTTTAGGGTTTTGAAAGTGTATAATTTGCTGAATGCTAAACTAATCACAATGCAGCCGGCTGTCCATTAGTTCAACTCATCCGCATATAAACAAAAGTTGCATCTAGCATGGTCAAATTATAAACAATGGTATTTTTTTCCAACCTGTTTTAAACAAGAGTTTCGAGTTTACTTTTAGATCTTTTAAAGCTAAAGCTTTTAAAGCTCTCGTATCACCCAGCTAGCATTTTAAGACTTATTTTCACGTTCATAGGTCCACAAATGTAAACTGCACATGCAGATTCATTACTGGTACTGATCGCCAATGTTATGCGGTGCCATCAGTGGTTACAGGAAATCTTTCGAGTCTCGTTTCCAGTTTATCAGTTCTGGGTTGCTTTTCAGTGTTAAGGATTATTTACCCGCCGAGGTCGAGTGAAGATTATATTTTTCGTTTAATTAACACCTGGTAAAAAAAAAGCTGGAAACATAACTACACAGTTGCATTAAACTACGTCCAGCGATAGTGACGAATAAGCAAATAAATTAAACTAATGCTTTAGAAAAAAACATATATAAGAAAACAAGAAAGAAGGAAGCATTTGCATTTTACTTTGGTGATTAACAGATTAACATCACAAAATATATTGTTGATAGCAACGCAGCTGGCCTACTGCCTATAGCGCTAAGGTTAAATAATTGGACGAAGAACAGAGTGGGAATAAAGTTCTTTAGGCAAACAGCAATATGCGTCTATAAAGTTAGTGATTGAAGCGGTCCTGACGGCTTGTTTTTTAGCTAAAAAGAAATTAAAGAACTTCTGTTCAATTACACAGGGGTACCCAACGATGGTTTCCTCCTAAATACATTAAAAACAAGTTTTAGGCTCCCCATAGTACTCTAAAAAAGCATAAGCGGCGCTGTAAAATTTGTATCTGTTCGATCATCCTAGGCGAACTTGAGTCTTTTCGAAAAAAGGGCTCGAGGTATAATTTTCCCTAAAATTTTAGATGAAATTTGAGGTATTACGAAAGTGAGACATTTCCTAATTCCTCTCTCAATCACATTTTTGAATCCGAAAATTTCAGGTTCCGTTTTTTCTACGAAAAAAACGCCAAACTTGGGAAGCAAAATTCAACCCCCGTAAAATTTTTCTGAGTTTTTTTCCTAGAGGATAAAACATCAGCACCTGATGTTTTCAGTACTTAGCTGTTCGTTCATCCCTCGCGCACATTTTGAGACAAGTTTAGTGATGATCAGTTGCCATGGTTACGAGGTATGACGTCGTAAGTTGCAGGTGGTCAAGCCATTTTTGGATGAAAATACATGTTTTTCTAACTTACTTCAGCAATAAAAGTAAATCTTGTGGCTAAAACCATGCAAAGTGATTATTCATGTGTTATTTTCATGTAAAGCACAAAACATTACCATTTCTCGCGGTTTTAACCTGATTTCTAATCCTTGGCAAAGTCCAAGGTGGCGGCCAAGATGGCGACCATTGCTGGTGACGTCACAGGCCTTCAGCAGCGTCACCACCCATAAAATATACCTCATCTAGTTAAAAACATCAAAGGCTTTCCACTAAAGGTAAAATCGTCTCGAAATACTGCAACATATCAAAAACTCTTGTTTGTTTGGTGTTTACTTCTGACAGTTTACCCAAGTCTTACTGACGCTAACAGAGACGTTGTCATTGACAACAAATGCACAGAGGACGAAAGTCGTAAGAAAGATATGATGTGTGCGCGCAAGTTTCTGGAAAAGATGAAGCAACCATCCACAAATTGCAGGTAGTTTTTGGCCAAATCAAGAGAGGATAGAGCTTTATCCTCTCTTGGCCAAATCTAATTTAGTCATTTATTTATTTTTTCCCCACACTCCATCATATAATACCTTAGAACTCAATGCAAGTAAAGCAAGACTTCATCAGCCACTTCCAAGTTGCTTAGCCTGCGAAAACAGCCGACATTTAGCGACGCTACCACTAGTTTCCCCGCCAAATGACGTCTGCGAGACGAGCGCAGAAATTCCATACTGATGACGCGTCACTACCCAGATCTGGCTAGTGCTTCTGATTGGTCGTGCCGAGTAGGAAACTTGATTCAACCAATAAGAAGCACTACCCAGATCTGCTTAGTGACGCGTCATCAGTATGGAATTTCTGCGCTGGTTTCTCAGACGTTACGTTATATGACGGGGAAACCAGAGATAGCGTCGCCAAATGTCAGCTGTTTTCTCAGGCTACAAGTTGCCCAAAGCAGTCTCTTTCAAGGCAAGTCTTAAAGCCGAAGCTGTAAAGGAATCCAAGAAAGTCTTGGATTCTGGATTATATTCCAGGTACTGAATTCCGTCTTTGTCAGTGAAGCTTGGATTCCGAATTCTAATCGTTTATAGTGAGATTGCGGATTCCTTGAGCTGTTTTCCGGATTCCACAAGTTAAGGAAACATTTCCCAGGTTTATCTAAAAATTGTCTTTCTCTTTCCTTTCTTGACTCTGTTAGTCATGAACTCATGAAATACAGAGAGTGTTTCAAGAACTTCACACTTAACCAGTGCTTTGGCGATTACATAAGAAGCAACCCACAAATGAGACATCCCTTGATGCGAATGGCGGGCATTAAGTCTAGACTCCACAACTTCGCTCAAATGATGTGCGGTATCATGAACGACTCCCATCCAATCAATACCACAGGACTACCAGACAAAATCAAGCACATGCTTAAATGCAAACCGGAGTATTTCGATAAGGCCAAAGACTGCGCCAAACCGTTTCACGACATGTTCAAAAAACCCAACCGAGACTCAAGCGACCTGTGCAAGTAAGATATTTTTTCATGGCTAGTTTTTATTGAATGTTTCAATAGGCCATTTCCGAGTTCACCCAGGCCTCTGCTTCAAAACGAGGGTAGGTGCTCAGCCTTTGCTATGGAAATCATTTTTCATCCTCACGCAAATAAAACTCGTTTTCACAAGAAAGGTTGTGCACCTAGCCTCATTTTGAAAGTGAGGGGTTTTGGAACTCGGAAGTGGCCTATTAATTTTTCCTTTATTGATTCCATATTTTTGTTTCTCGTTGTTGTTGTTGTTGTTGTTTTCCCTTTGTTTTTTTTCTGAGAGAAAAACGTTTTACTATTAATTACCAATCTCGTTCGGCTTGTTTCAAGAACATCTGTATGAACAACGTTTATCTTAGATTCATTGTTTATGCCTGGTTCAATTTGACCTGTTACGATGCTCCCAGCCCGGCCATACCCCCCGGGGGAATTTGCAATTTTATTTCTTTCCCAGTGGTCTATTCTCCACCACCGAGCTCCATGATCGACCTCATATACGTTTTTTTGTGCAAATCTTTTTTAGAGCAATAGCTATTTCCGTACAATAGCAAAACACCCGAGAAGTTTTCAGAACTTTTATAAACGTTTTTTAGATTTCTAGAGTTTATTGAGAGAAGGATAATCTGACATGTATCATGTAGTTAAAACATGAACAATATATTTAAAAAGGAAATTAAAACGAGGAAAAGAACTCATAAGCGCCGCCACACTGGATTGAATCTCTGTTTATTTATATAAATCAAAAGCCTTGTGTCCGTATTCATGTACAGTCTATTTAAGTTGTCCAATTTTTAAACCAGGCTGAAGAATACTTTAAATTTCTTTGTTTCTTTTGCAACAAAAGAATCCATTCGACTACGCACCATTCGCACATCCGTTTGAAATTTTAAAACATACCCTCGAAAATTCGTTGTCTTGGGTTCCGTAGCTTCATGCAAACCGCGCGAGGAATAACACGTACTTCACAAAATCGAAGAGAAGTTCTTTTTGATCTGCCCCACCACCCTACCCTTGGGACAGGACCACTTCAAACAATTCCCCACCCCGGGTCTGAAAGGCTGGACTTGTTCCAGGGGTTGCCCGGAGGAATGGTAACAGGTCAAATTGAACCATGCATTACGATACTGTTCACTTTACATATACACGGACCAAATTCGACGGACTCAGAGTTCAAAATTTTGTCCCATTACCTTTGTAGCAGAGTCCAGCCTATTCAGTTGATATTGTTACGTCTTCTGATTCGACTTTCTTCTTGACCCACACATTAGCCATTACTTTCCTGATTCGGTGTAGTTTGATTAGATTTGATTTAACAGTATCTTAGAGGAGACCCGTCACCCCTCCCCCCTCCCGCCCCCCTCATATAAATCTCGAGGTTTCAGGAGGCCTCCTCGCCATTCTTGTCGCATATCTAATTTATGTTAAACTATCTTTGTTATTTGTTAACATCTTAAGCATTGATTTTCGTCTAGCCTGTAACGATACATCGCATCGTATCCCACAGTACCTGCAAATGTCAATCCAACCTTCTGGCAAACAATAACTATCGGTCTAACTAGTAATAAAATGTTTCAGTTGATGAAGAAAATTTCTTTATCAGGCAATGACATAAACTCCTCGCCTCCTTTGAGTAACTCATTAGAGAGCTTTAGATTCAAGGACGAGGACAACTACGATGTGAGATTTGACTCAAAGTTTATTTGCGTATTCTCAAAATATAGACTCCCCAGAAAGCTTCATTTTACCATAATTTTCACTGGAAATGTTAGCACTGTTACCTTTATACTGAAGGAGGTTACGCCCTCTCCCAATCGCAAAATGGTAAAACTTCAAACATTTGATATTTTGTTTCCGCCACTATGACATTCTCGCTAAGACTCGTATAGTAGATTGACGACGACTACCAAGTTTTTCCGCCAAAATGGCGTTGGTTCAGGCGTATCTCGTACTCGCAGTCCTACTCGTCTTAGAATCTAAAGTTCTCTATTAACTTGAAACCGCGGTTCTGCTATTTGCAAAGGCATTATAGGCAGTTGATAAATATCGTTTCCTGATTTATAGGGGTTACCTGATGGCAAAAGTATGCAAAGGACGTCTGATGAAAGAACACTGCGAATTTGAAAGGCCACCTCCTCGGGATCAGTTCAATCCATTTTGCAAGGGCATGAAGGACCCGCCCTATCCACGGGGAGGCGCCGATAACGTTCGTACAAGCATGGTCTTCCTTTTTGTCTGCCTTGTTTTTGTTCTTTTCTTTCAGTAGGCCTACTTAATAGCTTCAGGAGCCCATATCTCGGAGCTGAGCAACCTTTCGTGTATTCGTGTTACTGCGGTTTTAAAGGCTAACTAGATTGATTTTGGCGCGCATCTATACTAGAACATCGCGTAAGTTCCATTACTTTTCAGCTTGCGAGGAAAATGGTGCGGTTTTTGTTGTTGTTGTTGTTGCTGTTATTTTGTTTTCTCTTTGATACTTTCGAATGATCACGGAACAGGGAGTGGAGGACCCTTTTCGCGGAAAAAAATGCGCTCTAAACTTTAGATCTGGTCTGTAAAATACGGAGTGTTTAAAGTCTGGGGTATGGGAGTTTTCTCGCTCCAAGTAATGGGCTCCTGATAGCTGTGTCCAGAGCGCATGCGTGTTACTTGTTCAGTGGCGGTTGCAGTAAGGTGGGGGGGGGGGGGGGGGGGACTCGACAATCATTTCCTCTTAACCATAGATATGCAGCTCAATCACATGTATATTCATAAGATTCAGTGATTAATAATTCCTTTTTCTTGTCTTTAATTCCCCTCATCCACGGAGCCGATTGGGAATTTTGACAATTCTAAATTGGCCTAATATTTATAGAGCATCTTCGTTGATGTTCTTTCATGTATTTTTTACTTGCATAATGTAAAAAGCACGGTATCGATCCCGATCACTGAATAAAGACCTCAACTAAACAACCAAGCCATTGATCTTGTTTGATTAAACACACTTTTAAAACACACTATTACATTTTGGGCGTGTTTCTTTGCCTCTGTGTTTCTTTGTTAGACTGTTTGACTGATTAAATCTAGTATTTGAATTAATGGAGGGACCAGCGCGCGCTTACCGCCATACACTATCCCCATTATACTGCCATATGTTCGCGGTATGGATTGATTGAATCACGTCGATCCGTCTCGTTGGCGCGCAATGAAAAGGATGAGTATAGAGGTCTTTAGTTTTGTATTCTGAAGAAGGCAGTACTGCCGAAAAGTCGGTTTAAGATCTTATAACAGCGTCGATTTTACAATTTTCAAATGAACATTAAAAGGAGGAGGAGCCGCACCGAGAAGTAAACGCTATCGTGTTTTCTGCCATGAATTCGCTTCTCCTTCCGCTCTGTTGGTGAATCTAAAACGCAGAACGTGACGATCCTATAATTGATTATAACACCAAATGCCCTTTTAACGATCATTTGACAACCCTAATCATCAAACAATCAAAGCTCTCCTTACCGCTTTTAAAGTAAAGGTGATAGAAATTAACCACGGGAAGGTGGCTGAATTTGTACGTTTAATTATATAAGATATTGCGCATGAAGGAAATTAGAATTCTGTGTATCTGAACTCGCACAATAAATTACATATTGGAATTCTCCTGAACTTCAACTATTCGAGGTCGCATCTAAATATGAAACGCGAGAGAAAACTGAATTTGTAGCTGTATGTCACGTCGCATTAGTCGGAAAAGACGCTTTAATCATGTTTGAACACCTTGATTGTGTCGGATATCATGTTGTTTGATTATGCACCATCAGGTACAAAGAAAATTTTAAGATTGAAGTGTTTTACGCTCGTCATATTTTACAATATGACCTCAGTTGAAATGAAAACTGCTTTAAAAACAATTTTAAAGTATTCATTTTATTGTGATATTGAAAAAATATGAACTAAGGTAACTAACATCACATTAGCCACAACTTTTTGAATGACGTCACGAATGATCCGCGGCGCCAACAGACTGTAGTCGCTCTATATAATAATCGCTATTAAGTTTTGGTTTTAGCTTTTGCTCATTCATTGTTATTTTTTGTCCTAAATTATTGACGGTATATAAATCGACTAATATCGAGTGATATCGAACACATGACGCAATCTGTTCAGGAGTTTTATTTGTTTGTTTTTGTTGTTGCTGTTGTTATCGTTACTTTGTTTTGTTTTGTTCTTTTGTTTATTTGTTCAGGGGCACCCAACGGGAAATTTTGAGAAAAAGACCTAAAAACAACAACAAAGCGTGAATGAAGTTTTCTGAGACTATTTTAAGCATTTTGGGAGATTGCTGGAAAAAAATTGTCTGTTCCTCACTCCCAGCAAGACTGATGAAAAAGTTCCCAGCCAGCAACCTTACAACCTGCAACCTGACTTACTGGGAAGTTTCATAGGGCACAATTCAGATCTTGAGTGGTAAGTAACCCATACAAGTAACCCGTAGCAACCGTAGCAACGTAGCAACCGTAGCAGCCGTAGCAACTTCAAATCCCCTCTGACACCCTGAATTATCTTTTTCCCAGCAACACTTTCCTTCCAAGGACTATTATTTCCTTCACATCTCCCAGCCAGCAAAAATATGCCTGAAGAACAGATATTTTGAGGAACAGATCCATTGGGTGCCCCTGTTTGTTTGCTTTTGTTTTTTTGGGTTCGATCTTCCATAAAGAGTATGGGCGCCTATTTTCTTAACTGACGTAACTAAACAAAATACGCGAATATGGTTGAAAATTCCATCATAACTTGTTTAAATTGAAAACATAAAACAGTTATTATGGATCTCACGACAATTATTGTATTTCTGATAACATTTGTTCATATGTTTGAAAGATAACATTTGGCTTGGCTGGCAACTAACTAAATTCTTTTTTAGCTGACTTAAATGAAAACACAAGTGGAAAGATTGTATTATAATCATTTTTAGCATTTGATTTTTTTCGAATTCTATACTATTCAACCTATTACGTGCGTGCACCTCGTATAAAAAGCGACTATTTAGAATACGCAAACATTAGGGAGCTTAAGCAGCGACGTTTTTGAGCGACGCACGTCAACCGGAAGTGAGGTATTTTCCCTCTTAACATGCCTTGATGATATAAAATTTGTATTCCGACTATTTACTGAAAATTACGCGAAAACAAAATTTGAAAAAAGGTCACTTCCGGTTGACGTGCGTTCGTGATCTATTAAATCGATGACGTCACAGTTTGAAGCTATAGTGACAACAGCGACTGTGAAACGTAAACAATATTCGTTTAGCTTCCCTCTCAGCTGCAAGGCTACAATCTAAAGTTATCACCAGTTGTATTTTATACTGATTAAAGCCCACTTTCTTGAGGATTTCTCGTCATTTTTCTGTATTTGGTTTGGTCTTCTTTGTGCTCAAGTCTCTTCTGGCAATTGCGATAAAATGGAGTCGTGAAAAAAATTGTAATTTTTATCCTAAAGCCTCGGAGTCACGTTAGAATTTTAATATATATATATATATATCGAACGTGGGCGTCTACTTGAAAGAATTTTCGAATGCAACTTCTTTTTCAAGGGCGCAGTGATTCTCTGAACATATTTCTAAACTCATACTTTTCTTTTCATTACAATCTTTTTCAAATTGAAGCTGTTATGAAAAGATGTACGTCCCTTCATAGCGGAAGCATTTAACTACTAATTATGGCCAAAAAAATTCATTAAAAGAGAAAATGAAAACCACTGAGCGATATTCCCCCTTGTTATACAGATAAACGAGGATAAATGATCTTTTTCATTACCATGTGTTTTAATATTTCGCCATGTCTCATATGTAATCCATTTATATTCTAATGTACACCCAACTTGCTTAGAGCAGTGGGCCTCACCGCAAAGTCAGTTAAAACGCAGTATATATTTGCTTTCGTGTGTAACACTCCACTCACCACAACAAACATGGCCCCAATATTGTGAATTCGCCCACAAGCTTATTCATAAATTGCCAAAACGTTATTTACCAATTCTGACACATAAGAAAGTCAGAATAGCTTCGCTCTTTTAAAAACAATTGCAAAGGGCGTAAAACGATTAAATAAGTCTAACTTTTTTTTTTCATAATTAAACGAAAAACGTCAAGTAAAACGACAGAAAGCCTCGTAAAGTAAAGGTTTGCCCGATGAAACAAATTAATTGAAAGGGGAAAGAGAAAAATGTTTCATAAAATTGTGGTGAAAGGGGGACTTTCAAATTGCGACCTAACGGCGTTAAGTTTCTGATCGATGTCTTGTGGCATCATTTATACTTGAGAAGGTACCCTTCCTAATAAATAAAGGAATCTATGGCCATAAACAACATACATTCAGCTTATCTCATCAAAACCCAAAAAATATATTTATTTAAAACAAGGCCTTTGTTAGTAAAATTAATTTGCGTCAAAATGAAACTTTGACATCAATGTGGTGCGGTAAACTCTTCAGTAAAACGACAATTTTTTCAAATAAAGATTTCTATATGCTTTTCCCGCTTTCTGAGTCCATAATCATTAAAAATGTAAAAGCTTTTCCTTCTGCAAATAATGGTCGACAGGTGAATACGACTTCCAGTTTGTTTGTTTGCATTTTTAAGTTTCATTATATCAGTAAAAATAATCAAAAACAGATGTGACAAGATCAATATTTAAGCAAGCACTGAATGCGAAAATGCGTAAAGGTCGTCCGACCGACCCAAATTTTTTGCATTTTCAAAAAACAAAGGAAACGATGTAGTTACACCATTTTTCACTTGAAATAATATTCTTTTAATCTGAAAAATGAGCATAGTAACAGCATAGAGAAAAACAGGAACAAAAACAAGAGTATTTTTCACAGTATATTGTACATTTTGTTAATCCAAATATGTGAATGTCAACTTTTAACGTTGTCCTGGGGTACCAGGGCCTACTATAGGTTTAGGTTTTTTTTTTGTTAATCCGACCGACCGACCCAATATCAGGGAACGCATTCGACGGTAAGCGAAGAAAAAAAGGGGGATGGCCTTTTGGAAAATTGCGACTTCGATCTTTTCTTTAAATTCTCAGCTTTTATAATAATCGCCTTTTTCATGGCCAAAGCTTATTTCCCTTGCATATCATCATCTCTTCGCTTAAAATTGCAATTGAATTAGATAATGAATATTGAGGAATCAAAACGTGAGTTTACGAAGGCACCTTGCTAAGATGAAATATGAAACGCAAACGTGGTAAGTCTATATTTACAAAAGAACAAAGTGAAGTCTCAAATATGACGTATGTGAAATGCAACGTTAAGATCATTTAAAGCGTCCCCTGCTTCGATCTGCCTTTTATCATTATATTTATTCTAACCCTCAGGCGCCAAAAAACTT